TTTGAAATTCAAAATATAATACCATTTACATTAGCACCTCCCCAAAATGAAATATTTAGGTATAAATCTAACAAAATATGTAAAAGATCTATATGAAGAAGACACAAAACTCTGATGAAAGAAATCAAAGAGCTAAAAAAAAAAAAAGCAATATTCCATGTTCATGGATAGAAAGACTCAATATTGTCAAAATCTCAATTCTTCCCAACTTGATCTGTATATCCAATGCAATCCCAATCAAAATCCCAGAAAAGTATTTTGTGGCTATCAACAGACTGATTCTAAAGTTCATATGGAGAGGGAAATGACCCAGAATAGCCAACACAATATTGAAAGGGAAGAACAAAGGTGGAGGACTGACACTACCTGACTTCAAGAAAGTATTGTAGCTTTAGTAAAATTACAGTTGTCAAGGCAGCATGGTAGTGGTAAAAGAATAGAAATAGATCAGTGGAATGAATGGAGAACCTGGAAACAGACACATATAAATATGATCAACTGATCTTTGATAATACAATGGAGCAAAGATAGTCTTTTCAGCAAAATTGTGCTAGAACTACTAGACATCCACATGTAAAAAAAAATTAATCTAGACATGGACCTTATACACTTCATAAAAATTAACTCAAAATGGATCACAGACCTAAATGTAAAATTCGAAGTTATGAAACTCATAGAAAATAATGTAAGAGAAAACTTAGATGACCTTGGGTATGGTGATGACTTTTTAGATACAACACCAAGGGCATAGTCTATTAAATAAAGAATTTTTAATCCATTAAAATTAAAAATTTCTGCTCTGGAAAAGACAATGTTAATAGAGTGATAAAACAAGGCAAAGAGTAGGAGAGAATGTTTGCAAAAGGCATATCTGATAAAGTACTGTTGTCTAAAATACACAAAGAACTCTTAAAATTCAACAATAAGAAAATAACCAACCCCATTTAAAAATGAGCTGAAGACATTAATGTCTCACTAAAGGAGATATACGGATGGAAATAAGCATATGAAAAGATGTCCTACATCATATGTCATCAATGAAATGCAAATTAAAACAATGGGATACCACTACATACCTATTAGAATGGCTAAAATCCAGAACGCTGACAACACCAGAAGTTGACAAGGATATAGAGCAGCAAGAACTCTTATTCATTGTGGGTGGGAATGTAAAATGGTATAGCCACTTTGCAAGACAGTTTGTCAGTTTCTTATAAAACTAAACATACTGTTATTATGCAATCCCTCAATCTTGATCCTTGGTATTTACCCAAAGGAGTTAAAATCTTATATCCACACAAAATCTGCACATGGATGTTTTAGCAGCTCTATTCATAATTGCCAAAATTTGGGAGTAATCAAGATGTTCTTCCACAGGTGAATGGCTAAATAAACTGTAGTACATCAAGACAAAGGAATATTATTCAGCACTATAAAGGAATGAGACATCAAGCTATGAAAAGACATGGAAGAAACTTAAATGCATATTACTAAGTGAAAGAAGCCAGTTTGAAAAGGCTACATACTGTGTGATTCCAATATGTGACACTCTGGAAAAGACAAAACTATGAAGACAGTAAAAAAAAAAAAAATCAATAGTTGTCAGGGATTGGGAGTTGAGACAAGATGAATAAGTAGAGCATGGACGATATTTAGGGCAGTGATAACACTCTGTGTGATAGTATAATGATGGATATGTGTTATTATACATTTGTCCAAACCCACAGAAAGTACAACACTAAGAATGAACCCTAAGGCAAACTATGAGGAAAAATTAGTTAAACACAAAGGAAGGCAGTAAGGGAGGAAATGAGGAACAAAAAAAAACTAACACCTACAGAAAACATACAACAAAATGGTAATAGTAACTCCTGCCCTATCAGTAATGACTTTCAATATAAATGGATTACCCTATACAAGCAAAAGACATAGATTAGTAGAATGATTTTAAAAACCAGGATCCATCTATATGCTGTTTACAAAAGATGCACTTTATTTATATTATATATTTTAAAAAGATTTATTTATTTATTTGAGAGAGTGTGAGCAGGGGCAGGGGCAGAGGGAGAGGGAGAGAATCCTCAGGCAGACTTCCCGCTGAGCATGGAGCCCAACACAGGGCCTCGATCCCAGAACCCTGAGATCATAACCTGAGCTGAAATCATGAGTTGGACACAACTGACTGAGCCAACCAGGTGCCCCTATTTTATATTATTTTTATTTAAAAATTTTTTATTTGAGGGTAGTTGACATACATGTCACATTAGTTTCAGGTTTCCAAATAGTGATTTAACAAGTTTCTACATTATGCTATGCTTACCACAAGTGTAGCTACCATCTGTCAGCATACCTTCTGTTAAAATATCATTGACTGTATTCCTTATGCTGTACCTTTTATTCCCATGACTTACTCATTCCATAACTGGAAGCCTGTATTTCCCACTCTCCTTCACCCATTTTACCAATTCCCCCCATCACCTTCCCTCTGGCAACCAACAGTTTTCTGTATTTACAAATCTCATTTTGCTTTTTGTTTGTTTGTTTCTTTCTTTCTTTTAGATTCCACATATGAATGAAATAATATAGTACTTTTCTTTCTCAGTCTAACTTATTTCACTTAGTATAAAACCCTCTAGGTCCATCCATGCAAATGACTTGATCTTATCCTTTTTTATGGTTGTGTAATGTTACAGTGTGTGTGTGTACCACATCTTCCTTATCCTTTTGTCTATTGATGGACACTTAGGTCATGTCCATATCTTGGTTATTTTAAATAATGCTGCAATAAACATTGGGGTGCATATATATTTTCAAATTAGTGTTTTTGTTTTCTTTGGGTAAATACCCAGTAGTGGAATTACTGTGCCATATGGTATTTTTATTTTTAACTTTTTGAGGAACTTCCTTCCTTTCTTTCTTTCTTTCTTTCTTTCTTTCTTTCTTTCTTTCTTTCTTTCTTTCTTTCTTTCTTTCTTTCTTTCTTTTTCTTTCTTTCTTTCTTTCTTTTTTTAACTTTTTGAGGAACTTCTATACTATTCTCCACAGAGGCTGCAACAATTTACAATCCCACCAACAGTGCATAAGGGCTCCTTTTTCTCCACATCCTTGTCAACACTTGTTATTTCTTGTCTTTTTTATTTTAGCCATTCTGACAGATGTGAGGTAATATCTCATTGCAGTTTTGATTTGCATTTTCCCAATGATGAGTGATGTTGAGCAGTTTTTCATGTGACCATTGGCCATCTGTATCAAAAGACTCACTTTAGATGTAAGGACATGCATAAGTTGAAAGTGGAAGATGGCAAAGTTATTCTATGCAAATAGTAACCAAAAGAACAGAGGTGGCTACACTAATACCAGACAAATCAGACTTTAAATCAAAAGTGGTTATAAAGGACAAAGACATTGTATAATGATAAAAAGATGAGTTCACCAAGAAGTTGTAGTAACTGTAAACATGTGGGCATCAAACATCAGAGCTCCTAATTATATAAACTAAAGATTTGGTATAATTCTAGGAGAAATAGATAGCTCTACAATAATAGGTGGAGTCTTAATTTGGATGAGATGAATTTGGGAGGAACACAAACATTCAAATCGTAACAGTTGTTCAGGAATGATCAGGAATTTATAGAGACAGAGGTGACATTCACAGCTTATAGCTGAGCCTCTGTAGGATACTGGTCCAGCAGCAGTAGACATGAATATTTTTACTCCTTTATAGCCTTTCCTAGGCTAGTATAGTGATTACTACCTGTGATGGACTCTCCTCTCAACTGTCTTTAGGCCATCTTTAGCAAAGCCGTGATCCCAATACACAGAAAAGGGAGAGAACTAATGGATTAGGGATACTTATACTAAAACAGACATCTTGTATATAAGAATTTTACCTCACTAGAAATATGGATATCTGATAGGAAGAGGGTACAGTAATTTGGCCCACCTTGCTGAAGATCAATTGGCCAAAATTTGTGAATCTAATTCATGCTTGCAAGACGGAAAAATTACTAACATGGCATATTGCTGGATGTCTTTAGACCCCCAACTGAGAATCTTCCTGAAGGACTCCCCAATAAAAGGAGGAAATTAAGGTAAAAGTTGGAATTATTAAAAATAAAGTATAAGGGGTGCCTGGGTAGCTCAGTTGGTTAAGTGTCTGCCTTTGGGTTAGGTCATGATCTCAGGGTCCTGGGATCTAGCCCCTTGTCCAGCTTCCTGCTCAGTGGGAAGCCTGCTTCTCCCTCCACTCCTCCCTTGTTTTTTTCCTCTCTCTCTCAAATAAATAAAATCGCTTTAAAAGTAAAATGAAATAAAAGTATAAGTAATATATAAAATTTGGTTCACTGAGAAGATCAAAAACATAGATAAGCTTCCCAGAGGGGCTTATTTAAGGAAGGGAGAAAGAAAATTATATAATATTAGGGATTAGAAAGCGGATATAAACACAGATAAAAATGAGATTAAAACAATTAGAAGAGGATCATATAAAACTATGGCAAAAAAATGGAAAATTTCAAAAAAAATTGAAAATTTCGGGGCGCCTGACTGGCTCAGTCTATAGAGCATGTGACTTTTGATCTCGGGGTTGTAAGTTCAAGCCCACATTGAGTGTAGAGATTACTTAAAAATTAAAAATAAATAAAATAAATAAATTGAGGGGCACCTGGCTGGCTCAGCTGGGGAAGTGTGCAACTCTTGATTTCCGGGTTGTAAGTTTGAGCCCCACATTGGGTATAGAGATTACTTTGAAAAAAGTGGAATCATTAGGGAAAAAATTGAAAACTTCACAGGAGTAAAAATTATTATACTCTTAGCTCAAAATCTGTCCAAAAAAAAGACTTTACCCTGTATCCTTTCCATAACATCCAGTGGAATATACACAGCAAAGGATTTTGCTGGGTTTGCCTCACAGTACAGAATTTGCTTTCTCCTGCTCAGGTTCTATACTCATGGCTCTTGTCTTTGTTGTTGTTGTTGTTGTTGTTGTTGTTGTTGTTGTTTTTTACAGGAAAGGATTTCTGCTTGGAAATTGAATGGCTACTGGGAAAATGAACATTAGTGTTGATTTGAAAACTAACTCTGCTGAACTGGTTTTAGGTGTGGGAGGAGTCACTCTTGGGGAGAAGAATAGGAAAAAAATGAAAGATTGTCAACTTAGAAAAAAGCAGAATGAAAACATCTTACAAGCTATGATTGCTTTGCTGAATTCTGGAGGGGGAGTGATCAAGGCTAAAATTGAGAATGAAAACTATAGTTACCCAAAAGATGGAATAGGGTTAGATTTGGAAAGTTCTGTTGGAAATATTCTTCCATCTGTTCATAAATACCTAGACTTTATGCAGCAAGGTGAATATTTTCTAATTTTTGTCAAATCATGGAGCTCAAAAACCTCTGGTTTACGAATTGTCACCTTGAGGTCCAATTTGTACAAAAGGGATGTAACATGTACAAATATCATGGATGCCACTGCTACATCGGAGTTCCTCAGAGACAAGAACAAAACTAAGGGGAGATTGTATAGATCTAAATTGTCTCCAAAGCACAATGCACAAGTAGAGAGTAACGTGAAGGCCTTGACTGATGACTTTTTTAACAGGACCCAACTTAGGTACAGAGAAAAAATCCCCTTTGCTGAATCCACACATGTTGAAATGAAAGCCTTCTCAACAGAAAAGTTGTTACAACGCATTAAAGAGATTCTCCCTCAATATTTTTCTGCATTTTCAAATACTGATGGAGGATATTTGTTTATTGGTTTAAATGGGGATGAAGTAATTGGCTTTAAAAGAGAAGTGAGTGATCTTAACAAGTTAGTTTCAGAAATAGAAAAATCCATTAAAAAGTTGCCTGTCTATCACTTCTGTAAGGAGAAGAAGGAGATAACTTACTCATGCAAATTCCTTGAAGTATATAATGAAGGCCATCCTTGTGGATATGTCTGTGCCCTCAAAATAGAGCCATTCTGCTGTGCAGTGTTTGCTAAAGAGCCAGAATCCTGGCGTGTGAAAGACAACGATGTGCATAAGTTTACCATAAAGGAATGGATTTCCAACATACTGCCTGTGAACCCAAGTGAGGAAGGGAGATTAGGAAGGAGGCTCCGTAGGGCTAGGATGGCAGGTAGGTTTTCATTTGGGATTTGGGGTGACATCATAGGCTTCATATTTCAACACCTAATTTACTAATGTCTGGTGGATACAATCAATCATTCACTCTCTTATTTTCCTCTACCCACTTAGAGGATAGCTCTTCCATACAGAAACCACATTACCTTCTGTCAGTAACACAAGCTGGTGCAAAGATCCAATTAACCCTATTTTTCTTCCCTACCATCTCTTTACTCACTTCCAGTGAAAAAGCCTGTTGAATCCTTTTTCTTTCTGAGCTCAGTTTCAGTAACTGACCATTTCTTGCTGTCAGGACCACTTGCCTCTTTTATTTACCTTTCCCTCATCTGTCTTTACACCTATTTATTTCCCTTAAAAACTCTTCCCTCTTCCTCTTTTTTTTTTAAGATTTTATTTATTTGAGAGAGAGAGAGAGAGTGAGAGAGAGAGAGAACATGAGTGATGTGAGGGGCAGAGGGAGAAGCAGACTCCCTGCTGAGCAGGGAGCCCAATGCGGGCTGTAAACTGAAGGCAGACACTTAACTGACGGAGCCACCCAAGCACCTGCTTACCTCTTCCTCTTCTGTCTTTCCATCTGGGGGCCAAAATGTAACCCTAAGTTGGAGTGATTAAGAAAAAGAATAATGCTGGTATTTTATCTGATTTTGGAAAAGGAAAGCCTCAAATAAAGTTAGACTGCACTAGCAACTTTAAAATCTCTGAAAATGCAAGGTTCTTCCTTAGAATCTGCAAAACTCAGCAGTCCTTCACTAGCTATCTCATCTTCAAATTTTAATTGCCTTTAAAGTGAACCCAAGTACATGGCAATATATTCGATGACTCTTAATGCATTTTTCCTATTAGTTTTCATTCCAGGTACAGTGTGTTCCAGCCCCATCAAGGATTAAAATGTATTAAAATTGCAATTTGTGGGGTGCCTGGGTGGCTCAGTCAGTTAAGCATCCAACTCTTGATTTCAGCTTAGGTCATAATCTTGGAGTCATGAGATGAACCCCCGCCTCCAGCTTGCTGGGCATGGAGCCTGCTAAGATTCTTGCTCTTTCCCTCTCCCACTGCCCCTCCCCTGTGCTCTCTCTCCCTCTCTCTCAAAAAAAAAAAAAAAAGATGTTGAAAAAGGCATTAAAATTGCAATTTGTGGGGAACCTGCCTGGCTCAGTTGGTAGAGCATGTGACTTTTTTTTTTTTAAGATTTTATTTATTTATTTATTTATTTAGAGAGCAGGGGAGGGGCAGAGGGAGAGGGAAAGAGAGAATCTCAAACAGGCTCCACACCCAGCATGGAGCCTGATGTGGGACTGGATCCCACATCCCTGAGATCATGACCTGAGCAAAAATCAAGAGTTGGATGCTTAACCGACCGAACCACCCAGGCGCCCCAGAGCTTGTGACTCTTGATCATGGGGTTGTGAGTTTGAGCCCCATGTTCGATGTACACATTACTTAAAAATAAAATCTTGGGGGCGCCTGGGTGGCTCAGTCGGTTAGGCTACCACCTCTTAACTTCAGCTCAGGTCATGATCTCAGGGTCATGTGATCCAGTCCCACATCAGGCCCTGTGTTGGGCGTGGAGCCTGCTTGGGATTCTCACTCTCTCTCCCTCTGTCCCTCCCTGGCTCTCTCTCTCTCAAAAAAAAAAACAAAAACTTAAATAAAATACAAAATTGCAATTTGTGTCTGACCTAGGAATCTAACTACAATATCTAACAATATTTCTATTGGGAAAAAGGGGTTAAATCTAAGCAGACTTTTGATATACTATGCGTTAGTTAGATGGGGGAAGGGTCTCTCATGGCAGATTAAGAATGTGGTTTTTTATTTGTTTGTTTGTTTTAAGATTTTCCTGGGACAGAAAAGATGATCTTCCAACAACAAATATCAACGCCATTATACAGTCGTAAATCTGTTTAGAATTTGGAAAATGAGCAGCTGAGATATCACTTTCCAGGTAGTTTAATTCTGACTTCTTTGTTTGTTTGTTTTTCTTTTTATTAACTTAAATTCAATTAACTAACATATAATGTATTATTGGTTTCTGAGGTAGAGATCAGTGATTCATCAGTCCTTTTTTTTTTTTTAAAGATTTTATTTATTTGACAGAGAGAGACACAGTGAGAGAGGGAACACAAGCAGGGAGAGTGGGAGAGGGAGAAGCAAGCTTCCCGCTGAGCAGGGAGCCTGATGTGGGGCTCGATCCCAGGACCCTGGATTCATGACCTGAGCCAAAGGCAGATGCTTAATGACTGAGCCACCCAGGCGCCCCTCATCAGTCTTATATAATACCCAGTGCTCATTACCTCATGTGCCCTCTGTAATGTCTATCACCCAGTTACCCCATCCCCCCACCTCCCTCCCCTCCAAAGACCCTCAGTTTGTTTCATATGATTAAGAGTCTCTTATGCTTTGTCTCCCTCTCTGATTTCATCTTGTTTTATTTTGTCCTCTCTTCCCCTATGATCCTCTGTTTTGTTTCTTAAATTCCACATATCAGTGAGATCATATGATAATTGTCCTTCTCTGATTGACTTATTTCGCTTAGCATAATACCCTCTAGTTCCAACCAAATCATTGCAAATGGCAAGATTTCATTTCTTTTTTGTTTAATTTTATGATGTTATGTTAATCACCATACATTACATCATTAGTTTTTGATGTAGTGTTCCATCGTTCATTTGTTGCGTGTAACACCCATTCAGTACGTGCCCTCTTTAATACCCATCACCAGGCTCACCCATCCCCCCACCCCCTCCCCTCTAGAACCCTCAGTTTGTTTCTCAGAGTCCATAGTCTCTCATTCTTCGTCTCCCCCTCCAATTTTCCCCCCTTCATTTTACCCTTCCTACTATCTTTTTTTTTTTTTTAACATATAATGTATTATTTGTTTCAGAGGTACAGGTCTGTGATTCAACAGTCTTACACAATTCACAGTGCTCACCATAGCACATACCCTCCCCAATGTCTATCAACCAGTCACCCCATCCCTCCCACCCCCCCACCACTCCAGCAACCCTCAGTTTGTTTCCTGAGATTAAGAATTCCTCATATCAGTGAGGTCATATGATACATGTCTTTCTCTGATTGACTTATTTCGCTCAGCATAATACCCTCCAGTTCCATCCACATTGTTGCAAATGGCAAGATTTCATTCCTTTTGATGGCTGCATAATATTCCAGTGTGTGTGTGTGTGTGTGTGTGTGTGTGTGTGTGTGTGTGTGTGTGTGTAACTTCTTTATCCATTCATCTGTTGATGGACATCTTGGCTCTTTCCACCGTTTGGCTATTGTGGACATTGCTGCTATAAACATCAGGGTGCACATACCCCTTTGGATCCCTACATTTGTATCTTTGGGGTAAATACCCATTAGTGTAATGGTTGGGTCATAGGGTAGCTCTATTTTCAACTTTTTGAGGAACCTCCATACTGTTTTCCAGAGTGGTTGCACCAGCTTGCATTCCCACCAACAGTGTAGGAGGGTTCCCCTTTCTCCGCATTCTTGCCAACATCTGTCATTTCCTGACTTGTTAGTTTTAGCCATTCTGACGGGTGTGAGGTGGTATCTCATTGAGATTTTGATTTGGATTTCCCTGATGCTGAATGATGTGGAACATTTTTTCATGTGTCTTTGGCCATTTGGATGTCTTCTTTGCAGAAATGTCTGTTCATGTCTTCTGCCCGTTTCTTGATTGGATTATTTGTTCTTTGGGTGTTGAGTTTGATAAGTTCTTTATAGATTTTGGATACTAGCCCTTTATCTGATATGTCATTTGCAAATATCTTCTCCTATTCTGTTGGTTGTCTTTTGTTTTTTTTGACTGTTTCTTTTGCTGTGCAAAAGCTTTTTATCTTGATGAAGTCCCAATAGTTCATTTTTGCCCTTGCTTCCCTTGGCTTTGGCAATGTTTCTAGGAAGAAGTTGCTGCGGCTGAGGTCGAAGAGGTTGCTGCCTGTGTTCTCAAGAATTTTGATGGACTCCTGTCTCACATTTAGGTCTTTCAACCATTTGGAGTCTATTTTTGTGTGTGGTGTAAGGAAATGATCCAGTTTCATCCTTCTGCACGTGGCTGTCCAATTTTCCCAACACCATTTGTTGAAGAGACTGTCTTTTTGCCATTGGACATTCTTTCCTGCTTTATTGAAGATTAGTTGACCATAGAGTTGAGGGTCCATTTCTGGGCTCTCTATTATGTTCCATTGATCTATGTGTCTGTTTTTGTGCCAGTACCATACTGTCTTGATGATGACAGCTTTGTGATAGAGCTTGAAGTCTGGAATTGTGATGCCACCAGCTTTGCTTTTCTTTTTCAACATTCCTCTGGCTATTCAGGGTCTTTTCTGGTTCCATACAAATTTTAGGATTATTTGTTCCATTTATTTGAAAAAAGTTGATGGTATTTTGATAGGGATTGCCTTAAATGTGTAGATTGCTCTAGGTAGCATTGACATCTTCACAATGTTTGTTCTTCCAATCCATGAGCATGGAACGTTTTTCCATTTCTTTGTGTCTTCTTCAATTTCTTTCATGAGTATTTTATAGTTTTCTGAGTACAGATCCTTTGCCTCTTTGGTTAGATTTATTCCTAGGTATCTTATGGTTTTGGGTGCAATTGTAAATGGGATCGACTCCTTGATTTGTCTCTCTTCTGTCTTGTTGTTAGTGTATAGGAATGCCACTGATTTCTGTGCATTGACTTTATATCCTATCACTTGACTGAATTCCTGTATGAGTTCTAGCAGTTTTGGGGTGGAGTCTTTTGAGTTTTCCACATAAAGTATTACATCATCTGCAAACAGTGAGAGTTTGACTCCTTCTTGCTGATTCAGATGCCTTTTATTTCTTTTTGTTGTCTGATTCCTGACGCTAAGACTTCTAGTACTATGTTGAATAGCAGTGGTGATAGTGGACATCCCTGCCGTGTTACTGACCTTAGGGGGAAA